GTTGATTATTTTTATTGCAATTGACAAAAGTCGGGGAAACGCCAATGCGAAACTCTTGCGGCGGGTAATTCTTCTGTAATTGACCAGCTGCCGTTGGTTTTTCAGTCTTTATTTCCGACTTTTTTCCAGCTTTTTCCCCAGGGGTCAGCTAAATTTGCCAAAAAATAGTGAACGTACTGGATTGATTTGTGGGAATTTCAAGGAAAAGTTAGTGGTACCGGAATAACTAAAAACAATTCATTAAAGTTCTTTTAAATTATTCATATTTTTATTAGAATTTTATTTAATTCATTTATAATATTTATCAAATACCCACACCCTAAATTCTTTTCACTGCTCTACCTTCAACTTCTTTTCAACCTGTATTTTTCCCACTTTTTCGCACATAAATCTTCTGCCTTTTATAAAGCCAACACATCGTGGGTGATCTTCCCTTTTTGTTCGAGCCACACAAAAGCGCATTCTGTGATTGATTATCGCCGTATAATTCATTAATTTGACACCCACGCTCGAAAAAGAATGGCCAAAATAGATGGGTTTTGTGAATATTTTAATAATCAATAGATTATTTCAATCATTTTGCGTAAAGAAAAATGGGAGAGAAGAAAAAAGAGGGGGTCTGAGTTGCATGATGATGCGCCCGCATTCGCAGAGGCAACTGAAGTCTGAAAAATGATTTCTGCCGACTCATGATAAGAGTTACAATAATCCCGGGGAGTTTATCTTGTCGTGGCAATCGCGTTCGATTATTAACCCTCATAAATAAGGCCCTCGCACAGTAGCCCTTAACCCCTCTCCGACCGCCTTAACCCATAGACTTTTGCGTCAGTCTTCCCATTTTCACGAACATGCGGTTCTGCACCTCATCTCCTTGTTAATTTATTATGCACTGAAAATATGATTAAATAAAAAATGTATGTACATAATATTTAATTTATTTTATTTTTTAATTAACACTCTACAACAAATTAGCAGATTTAAAATACATTTTTCTTAAAAATTGTCTATGCAATATATGCAAACATTTTATGAATATGAATATTAATATTTTCTCCACCTTCGCTGCTTATGTAAAAATTATCCTCAAAATAATTAACAATATTTTTACCGTGCACTGCGCGCTCTTCTAATAAATGTTTTTCAATTTTCATTGTGGTTAGTAATATTTTTTCTTTTGCTCATCATGCAAGTCCATTGTTGTTGGCTGCGGCTTTTCGTTGAAAATAAAGGAAAACCGGGGGGAAAATGCTTTATCATTGACTGGAGGCCAAGGCCTGAGGTTCTCCTTTGTTGGCTTATTGAGCCATAACTGCAACTTTGTTCTTTCTCTCGTTACAATTTTTTTTTGTGGTTTTCCTTTTTTTTTGCTGATTAATCATGTTTTTTTTTGTGGGGTTAGCTGGCAGATGTTCGTATGCCAGTGAAAGTGCCCTGAGTTTAATTTTCTTATATTTTGATAACTGAATTAGGGTTTCTTGAAAAAATGAATGATTAGTTATTTTAAGTGGTAAACTTGATGAAAGCATTGTTTCGTAAACTTTTGGATTTTTAAAGTATTTTTATTTTATTCTTAAAGATATTATTTTTTAAACGACCCTTTAAGCCATTATATTAATTGAAGAAACCAATTGGCTTCGATTAATTTTCTGCTACCTGCATTTTTTTACTATTTCCTAAATAACCCCTCAGATGTTCTATCAATATTAGACAACTCATCATCATCTGGCAGCATTTTTTCCCAAAAAACCAATTGCCGTAGTCATCATTTTTCACGGCCTGCCAAAGGCACCCGCTTTTCCTGTCAAAGAATGTTTATTTTTTATATGTTTTAAATTTCCCCCTGCAAAAAGGAACAGAAAGGTGACCAAGCTAATGTCCATGTCCTACCATTATAATTTCCTCGTTTTATTTTCTGCCGTCTCACCGAAGCAGAAATGTTATAAATCATTCGCCTGGGCATATTTTTAATAGAGTTGTTACTTGTGTTTTCATTTTGTTGGCCTTTTTCGCCCTTTTTTCGGGGTCGATTGCGGTTGATTTTTTCTATGTTAATTAAATGTCAGGCTAGTTTGCAATTTTGAAAAGGGTTTTGGTCTTTGTAATCTTTTAATTAGCAAACATAACTCTTTTTATCGTCCCTCCTAACCTTTTCTCTGTTTCTTTTTTTTTGCAGGTGAGTGAACTTTGTGGAGGGATAACAAGCCAGCGAAATGATTCGAGTAAGAAAATTTTATAATCAACTGAAGAAAAAAAGAAAATCGTTTGCATAGTCAAATCAAGTGAAAATCTTTTCACACCCAGAGATACAATAGAATGGAGGCGATGTCGGATAGGGAGGAATTTCCTTTTCCTTTCGCCCCAGTCTTCACTTTCGCCCGGCAAACAAAGCGGTTTTTGTGTGTTTTGAGTGACAAAACCGCAACAGACATTGACTTTTCACTGGTTTTCCAGTCTGGGATCCCCGAAAACGAAAACTTTAAAGAACCGAAGCCAGGAACATTGTCATCATCATTATCATCGGCATCAGGCAGCCCAACATTTCCTTCCGCTTGTTAAAGGAGGTTTTATTTGGGGATTTTCGGGGTGTGGAGGCTGAAGTTTCATTCTTTCTTTTTTTTTGCAAGCGTCACATTTGACGCCACACAAAAATCGGAGGGGATTAAGGGGATGGTACGGGGAAAACTTGCGGTTGGATGGGATGGCTTTTTCGAGGGTCTACTGTAACTACCTTTTGGCATATGGTTGAGTTGAGTTGGCTTTGGCTTTCGAAGCCCCACGTGATTGATGGTTCTTCTATGGTCCATGCATAGCCCTTTTTTCTCCCTCACTTGGGCTTTCATCTGCACCTGTTGTCACACCAGTAAACTGAAAAAGTTGCTGAAAAGTAAGGAAGTAAGGAAGTGTAAGGCGGAGACTCGTAGATGTTCCCAGCGATAGGATGGAGCTCTATAAAAATGGAACAGCCCATAGGGAAATATCCCTTCTAATGTTTATTATTGTCGTTTCCAGTTGGGTTTATTTTTCTTGAAAAAGAGACCCCAAGGAAATGGGGATTATGGGTCTATAATAAGGGATGGTAAAAATAAGCTTAGCTGAAAGAATTTTTGATTTTCTTTCCTAATCAAAATAATAAAAAACTTATAATCTACCATAAAGAATAAATTATATTAAAATTTACAATTATTTTATTATAAAGGTGCTTTGTTATTTTTAAACCAATATTTTCTGAGAAATCCAGATAACACACCTTTAAAACCTTTTAAAAATGTTCTTGCTCTTGAGCTCAACTTTCACTTTTCCCCCGTTATGTTTCCAGTTTTTTTTTTGAAGGGCTACTCCCGACATGGAAAACATCTCTAAATCTCTAAACAAGCTGCGTCTCATTTCTCAGTTCTCGATTCTCTACTTCCGAGACTTGTACGTCAATGTCAAACTTTGACAGATGCCAGCTGGCAGAGAAAGGAGAAAGGAGCTGAGAAAAAAAAGCGAAGCATGGATTTACTTTTATTTTATTACTGTCATTGTAGCTCACTCGCTTCCTCTTTTTCCTTGGGTCCAAGGTTGTGTTGTGGGGGTGACGAAACAGGAGAAAGGGGGAGAATGGATGGGTGGCTTCTTTCCATTCCCGTTATGTGGCTTTTGCGTAAGGATACATGGTCGTCGTTATCCCTTTGGCTGCTTTATCATCCATCTGTGCTCCCCGGTTTCCTTCTTGCTTCTTTGTTATCTGCTGTTTAGTCAGGCGGCGGTGGAAAAGTGGGTGGGTTTCTCGGGGAGAAAGTTCCCTTCGTCCTGGCAGCTTTTTGGCAAGTCGTAAATTAAAAATGGCTTAATATGTAAATCCTTGCAGCTTCGCTTTTCGTCTCTTTCCCCCTTTGTAGCTCTGGCTCTTTCGCACAGATTAGTTTTGTGGATATTTCAGCTTACGCCTGTCCCTGTCTTGCCATCCGAATATCTCTGCATCTCCATCTTTTCTCGGACATCCATTGCATCCATTGTGGGGTTAATGCTGCCGGGGTCCCTTCAACCCCACACATCTGCTTATTTGCCCGGTTGTTTTTGTTTTCCCTGGCTGTTGCGACATTGATATGCTTGTGTTGTCATTAGTCAACAACATCGTAGTGAATCTGCTTGTTGTCGTGTTTGTTGCAAAATCAACTCTGGCAGAAACTTTGGTCTTTGGCAAATTAAATTTAGATCGTCAAGAAAGCAAAATTGTAACTTTAAAAATTAAATTATCTTAAAGTACATAACTTAAGATTTATTTTATTATGCTTTAATGAATTTATAAGGCCAAGCCAATTAGTTATCTACTCTATATGGTTTATATAGTTCAAGGTACTTGACTCTATCTATCCGTCACATAATCCCCACCCTATCATTACCCCACACATTTGCATTAATGGCCACTGTGCATCATACCAATTTTCCGAAATGGATTGCCATTAATTTATTCCCTTTGCAAATTGCAGTGTCATTTAATTTCTCTCCTTTTTTTTGTGCTATTTTCCCCACCAATTTGCATTTCCCTCTGTGTGAGTGTGCGTGTCGTAATGCATTTTAGTAATTATTTTAGCTGCTTTTCACTTTTGTTGAGGGCAGTCATTAACATTTGAGCTGGGCGCTAGAAAAATGGCGGCGAGGGACTGGGGAATTGAACAAAATTCTTTGCCAACTTTGCCATAATTTAATTGCCTTTATGACTTTACTAGATGGAAATTAATGATTGCCATTTATCAAATTAATATATATTACTTTTTACACGACTAACAAAGAAATCGGTATGGGATTTTTTCTAGGCTATGAAATACTTGTTAATGCATTTCTCGATTAATTGCATTGTAATTGTAGCAGTTAATTATACAATGGTAATATGCGCTACTTAGTGGTAATTTTATGATTTTACACTTTAGGTGAATATAAAAATTATATAGCCTATAAAAATATTTATTTTTATGAGTATAGTAATTTTAATATATAATAAACCAAACGAAAAATGGGTTATAATACATTATTTAATAAAAACTCACAAGTTAACAATGTTAGAATTAACGAGACCTTATAAACCCTAAACACCTGAACAAATATCATGAACTCCCATATCATTTCTTATGCTCTGCACCGATTGGCCTCTGAACCCGAAAGGTGCAGAGCAGATCCTCATCGATGCACAACATTGCCCCGGCATTATCAAACTCCCCGCAATAGTTTGGGGCGGAAAAAATTGTAATCAGCTGGCGCTTGGCGAAGAACTCATAGCCGTCCTCGACGACCTGATGACCCCGGCAAATGAGGTTCAGGTTGAAGCGGTGCAGAAAGGCACTGACCACATCCGAACCGAAGGTGTGACTCACACCCCGTTCGTTGGGACCCCAGCCCATTATCCTTATATCCGGATCGGACCACAGGATATCGCACACCAGTCCCGATTCCGGAATTTCAACGGGTCTCTTGATTTGCCTTATCTGCTGCATGCTAAACAGACTGGGACTCAGACCGCCGTGGCAACAGAAGATATTATCCTCGATGATCGCGGCCAGGGGCATACAATTGTAGCAATCGACAAATGTGCGCCATAGTTTAACCGTATATCGCCTCTTGCACTCGTCGTAGAATCCATAGAACTGATTCAGGCTGGCACACTCGTGGTTTCCCCGCAGTAAAAAGAACTTTGTTGGATAGCGCGACTTGAGGGCCAACAAAAGGGTCAAAGTTTCGATGGACTGCTTGCCTCGGTCAACGTAATCTCCCAGAAAAAGATATTTTGAATCCGGTGGATAACCATTCGATTCAAAGTACCTCAGCAAATTGAGGTACTGTCCATGGATATCGCCCAGTAAATTGATGGGAGCCGTGAGTTCCAGCAAAGTTGGCTGATTCAGCATCACTTCTCTCGCCCGCACACACACCCATTCGATATCCCGGGCGGAGATTTGAACCATGGATCCCAGATCCCCCACCAGCTTCAGTTTTGCGATGATCTGGTCCAGATTCATACCCTCATCGAACTTGGCCCGGGTTTTACTGGCTGTCGCCCTGCCAATTAACTTCTTCATTATTTGGATTCAACGAGGAGTTCTCTTTAGCAATTTGGAATTTCGATTCAGCGTAGAGTGTATGGAAAAAAGGATTTTTTTTGTTTTCAGCGAATTATTTATGGTTTTTTATTTTTTTTTTTGAAAAGAGGAATATTTTCCCAAGTTTATTTGTCTTCAGTGTTTTGAAGTGTATGACAAAGGCTACTCTGTTTTCTTGACCAATCTCGGCCAAAGAATAACCATCACAAAGCCACATAACTGTCATTCAATCAACTAAATTTGAAGCACCAGCTAAACGACCACCACCCCCTTGGAAAAGCCCGCCTTATAAATCCCCCCACCCACAGTAAACTCCCCTTTTAAAGCCCCTCTCGCATTGTCAGCTCGCCCTTCATCTTTGTGTGAGCAATCGCATCCGTTGCTTTTATTTTTCAAATCAACATAATGGACACTTTGCCCGCTGGCAGCATCATCCAGCCACCTCCCACCCCCCTTTTGGCCACCACCCCTCCGGCCATGTCCATGCATACATATATAAACGAAAAAATACAAAGGCAACTTCAGTTTTGGGCTTTGACAGCTGACATAGAATGCAGAAAGCGAGCGACGCATTTTCGAGTGGGTGGGCCAGCCCCCCAACCCCCACTCACCCCACCCTCTAGGGGTGGATCAAACCCCCAGCCCTCCGTTTTCCAGAATCAGTTCTTAAGCCAAAACCTACCGCAGATGCAAATTTTCAATGCTTTGTCCTTTTCTCCTAGTGCACTAAAAATAATGAAATTCTAAAAAATTAGTATTACAATATTATTAAAATTCAATGCTCCAACTATTTAAATTTTATAAAATTAAAATACTTGTGATATCAAAAAAGGTCCTAAAAATATTTTAATATTAATAAAAGCAATTTGAACATTGTCTTGTTTTCCAATTGATTGATTTTTAAAAGAATATTTTAACATATCAAAATATCTAAACAAATTCTAAAAGTTCTTTAATTTTATTTTTCTAATAATCCGGGTCTTAGGGATATTTTTCCCAGTGCATGTCCGTCTCTCTGTCACTCATTAAACATTTTGCTAACTGCAACTCGGAGTGTTGTTGCTGCTGTTCGGGCCTGTTGTCATGGCAAGTGTCACAACAGTCGCCTGCATTTTGTTGATTTTACGAGCATGTGACAGGCTGAGATTCTGCGAATGCATCAACCCTGAACCGAGGAATGGAAATTGAAGAGGGATTCCAGCGGGCAGGAAGGGAAAAGTCGGAAGCGGGCTACAAATGTAAGTCGTGTGATTAGTAACGGATTCCGCAAAGGGCGCTGCAGAAAAGCGGTTGGGGCAGAGCAGCCCCAAGCACTCGGGCCTAGACCCACTCTCCTTTTGAACTTCATCCCTGATCCATCAAGTTGACAAGACCAAATCTGCGCCCACATATGAACATTTGTTCTTTGATGAAGAATATTTTTGCACAGCGCCTTGACACAGACCCTCAGACTTTTAGCTTGAAACATTTTAGACGCTGTCACCCGCAACTTTGATATTAATTTTAATTTTCTTGAAGTGCAGTATTTCCTGTTTTAATAAATATTTTTCTAAGCCTTGAATCTGTAAATCAAATTTTTTCACAAAAAGAGTATAATAAAAGAGTATTTCTAAGTCGGATTTCGTGTTAAATACATTTTTCTTTAATACATTACCTCTCCTTGTGTTTGAGTAATATGAAATATTTCCGAATAGTATCTCTGTTTGATTTGGGCCTAGAAGAAGATGGGGATTACTATTTTTGGATGAGCGGCTTCTGTTTCATATAGTAAACACAGCTGGACCCTTTATATTTTCCATTTTTGGTGGGTTCCAGCTGAGTTTTTGCTTATCTAATGCACTTCTCCCCCAAACATTTATCCTCCCTCTCTCTCTCGCGCGGACTTGTCATCTCTTTCTTCTGCTGCTCTTATCTGTGCGGATGATATTGTTGATTTTGTACTGCAGCACACATGGATGCACTGAGAATATTTTAAATGTTGTATAGTATAAACTTTTTTCTAATTTTCAAAATGTTTAAAAATAAATAAATATTTTTTAGTATTTTATTAATAAACTTTTTTTTAACCTTTAATAAATTAATCTTTTTAAATTACTTTAATTTTTCAGTGCCCCAGCAGTAGCTTCCTTTCTCCTCTCTCCTTTTGTTTGTCGCTGTAGTTGTTAATTGCTTGCCGCTACTTTCTTGCACTGCCTCTCTCTTTCTAGTGCCCTATACCCCTCTCCCTCTTTTGTTAATCACTGCACACATCAATGCGGTAGTTGTTGTTGGCTTTGCTTAATGGGTTTTTATTTGTTTATGCATGTATGAGTTGTACGAAGATGAGGGATGCCCCCTGCTGACCACTCTTCATCTTTTCCTGCCATTCTATATCTAAACCCATCTCCCTCTATTTATCTTAGCTATAGTCGCTGCTTCTTCTTTTTCGAGACCCATGGGAATTTTTACAAATGTTTTCAACGACAAGTGCTCTTTGCAAAAGAGGGCAGAATGGGTGGCTAGGAAATTTTGAAATTGTTTATACTTAAATGGGCGTGACTGACAAAGTTTTTTTTTTTTGATTTTTGGCCCCTTAACTTTATGTTATTAATTATTTGTTTGTTTGGACCTTTGAAGTTTATAATATTTGTAAGAGGGGAAGGTTAAAAATAAGATCAAGCGTTTGTTTATATGATTAATCGTCTTGTTGGTATGCTCCAGATTTTCAAAATTATATATACGGAAAAATATAAAGATATATGTATAAAGACTTTCGTAACTATAATATCCTTTATGATTGTACTCTGCTACCATTTACTTTTCCTGAATCAATTCCTTTTTCCCATAGAGAATTCAATTTCCCCGCAGCCTTCATAACAAACCATCAATCAAAGCCTTTGACCAATTTCAAATGACAAAATTTGAATCAATTAAATATTTATTGATGTAAAAATTCGGAAATAAATATCGGATTTCCCTTGCAATTTTCTGCCTCACTCAGATATCCCTTGGAAAACATTAAATACATCTGTATACAATCGGAAACTTAATTAACATTGGACCGAAGGGAAAATGTCATTTCATAATTTCGATTTTTGACATTTTCCAGGGTGCGATGGATGCAGTTTTTGCGGGCTGCGACTAATTAACACATTTATGGAGTGACAAACATGATGTAGAGGCATACAACCCTCATATATACACACGATCTGTATCCCTGTCTATGGGGAAACCCATTCAAATGACCCAGAGCATTAACATTTGTTGCTGCGTTTGTAATTATGCGCAAACCGAAAGGGCCAACTGTTGACATTTTCAATTGTCCTCATTTATTGCGACCCCAAAAATGTTTGCTAATTAAGCAATCAAATAGTTGTCGCTTTGGTAATGAAAGTTTTCAAGGGAAGGCCGTAGGAAATTGAGATAAAGTTTTCAATTATGGGTAGATATATTATTTTATAAAAAGTTAAGTCAAGGAAGTACGCATTTCTTTTGTAAAACCACAGCAGACTCTGCACCTCGACTTCGTTAAGAAAATTCCGGAATTCCACTGGCAGGCGGACAAAAGGTCGAGAGTTCAACGCAGAGATACGGACAAAAATACGGACAGCGAGACGTGTGCCGCCAAAGCTTTTATAGCTGTCGCCGTTCACACAATGCGGTCCGAAACGAAAATATAAATCAACTCCGGAGGCAGAGGATCCCCCACCAGTTTCCCCCACCAGTTATGTCGAGAGACAAAAGATCCCGCCCGACAAAAAGAAAAGGGGAGTGGGAGATAGTTGCTGGTTTTTGTTTATTTATTCATCGATTTTAATACACTGCCGCGGACAGGGGAGTGAAAAACTCCTTGTAAATGGAAATGCATTTTCGATAAAGCATTGAAAATTGATTTTCCCCCGCCAACACCTTTTCGACTCTCCCTTCCCACTTTTCCCATTTTCCGACTAATTGTTCGTGCGTGTGTGTGACGTTGGGTGGCATTTTCTTGTTCGTTTTTGGAAGCTGCATTGTTTAGCTCTCATTGATTTCCAGCTGTTTTCCCCGCTGCTTGCTGGAAATTAATTTCCCCTCTAAACGGATTTTCATTGTAATTTTAATATTCATCTCGTTATTTTTTTGTGGTTGCTACAGTTGTTGGGTGTTTTTTGGTTTTATGGCTATTTTTATGTTTTAATATTTATGGTTTTTAATGTTCCATATTTAGTGGTTTCGTCTGACTGCCGCTCTAGACACGAATCTCGTGTTTCCGATCCCCACCTCCACTCCAAACAGTTTCTCTTTTATAGGCTTGTTCTGCAACGGAAATTGATCGTAAAATCCCACACTGACTCCTAAAAAAGTTCACACGCTGCAGGGGAAGGCATTAGTTATGGCATTGGGTTTAGAAATTCAATTTGATTTAGAGCTTGTCTAGTGAAGGGATTATAACTATATATATTATGTTTCATCTTATATCTAATCGAACCCCTAACAATGGTATGCCGGAAATATTCCTTAAGGACCTTTTTGAACCACTCCATATAGTTCCCTTTATTTTCTAGTTGATCCCATCAAGGCAAGACTCCTTCTCCTGCTGTTTGCACTTAGCCAACTGGAGTGTAAACAATAGAAACCGAAGAAGAAGAAAATCTAGTACCGCTGGCCATAAAAGCAAGTGCAACACTTGATCAGCTTAAATCAAACAAAATGAGGAATAACATTTTCACTCACACTTTTTTCGCATTTTCACTCACTCGCTAACAAGTCAAGTCAACTCGACATGTCGGTGGGTGGAAAAGGGGGCTGGAAAAGGAAAAGTGGGCGGGGTGCGGTCGTTGAACGTCCAAGTCGGTGTACTATACTATACTATATGTCTCTGTGTGCGCGACTTGGGGGAACTGTTATATATTTTCCAAACATTATAGCACTTTACACTTTTCACACGCTAAAATAATATTTTTCCAGGCCGCAGGAAGAGGTGTGCGGGGGGGGTCTTAGACTTTCAGAAGGAAGTGTTTACTCTACTCCATTTGGCCGAAACCCGTCTACCCGTCTCTTTCTCCCAGCCTCCACCCCTCTCTTTCTTTTGAGTGTGGGCTGTGCAAACAGCAGGAGCAGCAAAGGGAAACAAAAACTGAGGGAGCAGCGCCAAATGTCAAGTAGCCGTCAATTGGACAGGACGACATGGGCACAGAAGAAGCTGCCT